TTTACGTAACGTTTCGGAAATTTTGGGCTTTTACCGTCTTCATATGTTCTCGCATGCAATCTTATAGAAATGTCTTGTTGCTTGACAGCTTGCTGTACAGGAGGCTTTGGCAGGTGAATTTAAACGTTTCATATACATTTGGCTCAGTTAATCTTATGAGGTGAGTCTGCGAAGTATAATCTTGTTCTTCATTCATGTTTTTATGTAATAAAGCTGTTATGTTCTTTTTTTGAAATAAGGTACAGCTGTTCGAACAGAGAAGAATAATCTGTTTCCATTGCAAATGGTTCCTAATACTCTATTGTTTATTGAATGCTGAGATATCATTTTACTGGCCATGTTGGTCTTCTTCAATTTGAGACGTAAAAAGTTTTCTTCTTTTTCTGTAGAAGAGTACTCGCAGGACGTGAGGGGCAAGGATGAGTCTAAGGATGGGCATTTTGGACATTAAAGTGAAGTGCATTTGCAATTTGCAGTAAATTGTTTTGCAGTAAATTTGAAATAAATGTCTCGTCTTGTCTTTATTCTTCTATCTTGCTATCTACAAACGCTATGGGTGAGGGGACGGGTAGGGAACGGAGTGGAGGGAGGGAGAGGGGGAAGGGGTGGGGTCTTGTTGAAGTCCTACCCAGAGGGGAGGGGTCGCATCCGCTCGCGGTCATATGCCATACTGTTTGCTCGACCTTGGTTAGAGGTAATTTGGGTGGTTCAGGGGCATAATTGGGGTGTAAAGCTTAGTTAGGGCTAGTACAGTGTGCTACGATGGGCTTTCGGGGGACTTCCGGAGCAAAATGTGGGATTCCCTGAATGAGTGGGGCAGCCACCGCTGGAGTAACTCCGGCCGTTCCCCATTTTGCCACCGGAAGGTCCCCTCGATTGTCTGAGGGGATACGACAAAGCAAGCTTGTTGATGCGAAAAACTTCATTGACACGTTGTCTTGTATCATAAAAATCGTCAGCCACACAATGATCAAGTAAGTATCGCTTCAATGCAAAGCTATTTCTTGCATACAAACGCTCTCATTCTGGGTCGCAGCGTATGTCATTCCATCTGTGATAATAATGAGGGTGGCCACTGGCCAGCTGAAACGGATTTATGTGAAGCAAGAAAAACGTCAAATAAAAAGGAAAATAGAGCAAGGGCAGCAGTGTCTTAAAACAGCTGATAGTGGTTTTTTTGCTGTAACTCAGATGATAAACGCTAAAAGAGTTGAATAACGATTAATCCAATACTGTTGCCAACACATTTTATTATGTTTTCTTGAAAAGCAATTTTCCTCACATTCTTGAACACCCAAGTCTTCTATCATCACTAGCAAAGATTCTAAATCATTGTTAGAATGATAATGTCCAGCTACAGTCTAAGAGTAAAGTTTAGGCAATTTCAAGTATGGGCCTCTTTTGTCAACTAAAATATACACATACTATAAGTTACTTGATTGTTTTGTGTTTCTATAATTTAGTTGTGACTCGTAAACCGCTAAGCAAAAAAGTCAGATTTTAGCACATTCAAAAAATTGCTGGGCGAAATGTACAGAGTTTACCAATCCAGTGTCGAATGCATCAGCATTTTCATTCCCGCGCGAGACTCCGCATCTCTTTTGCTAACATGCTCTCTAGTCATATCCAATCGATTAAAGCTCCGCCTTTCCTACGCTCGCGGGGGTAGTGATCGGAGAGCATGTTTGCGAAAAAGATGCAGTATACAAGCTAAGCGTCCGTGCGGCAGCGGAGATGTTGGTGCTGCCGACACTGCAGTTGATAAGCCCTGTATATCTGTAGTTTTTGATGGTTAACATATTAACGGCCATGCTTTTTAGTTGCTTGCCTTCCGGGACCAAGGCCTTTTGCGAACCTGCCCACATTTTCGGCCATGATTACGCATGCTGCCATCTACAATAAACGTTAGTAAATCTGAAAGGCTGACGAAAAAGGTAGAGGTCATCTCTAGATTCGGTACAAAAGAGAGCTCATGGAGTGAGTTTATTCTAGGATAGTAGCCATTTTAACTAATTTCAAGCCTTGACACACATGATGTGTCAAACGTTGAACCTCTGAGTTATCTCTGAGATAACGCGCACCTTTTTGCCCCCTTAACAAATGCCTGAACAAACCAAATCTGGAAACGGCAGGATACTTCGTAACCGGTAGTTAGTTTCTCGTGGAGGAACATTGTATGAATCACTCTGCACATCAAAGTGCGCCACCAAACGCGCATCTAGGCTCTGCGATAACTCTGAATTTGGTGCGTGTTCCAGCCACTGTTCCAGTTTTCCATGAAACTCAGCGATAGCTCTGAGTTTGTTTAGAGAAAGACAAGTAGTGCAGAATAGAAGAGGAGCAGCTAAAAAAATCCTCTGGGGCTGTAGTAAGTTCGTTCCATGGATGTGGCTTACAAAATCGCAATCTAAGCTCGAGCTCAGTTTCATTCCGCAAACTTTGGATCTATTTGCCGGCTATCCGTGTATAACGAGTATATCGCGTCCTAGACGTGACGTATCAGCTCGCGATATATTTAACTATAAAGATAGCCGCCAAATAGATTAGTAGCTTGCGGAATGAAGCTGAACTTGAGCTTACAATTGAATTGCGACCTTGTATGTCACGTTTATGGAGATTACTATGGCCCCTGGGGTACATTTTGATCGTAATTTCAGCAGGTATGATGAGGGTATCGTGGTGCGCCGTTATTTACAAAATTTTGAAATTCTGTAAAACCTCGGCCCAGAGGGTTACTCGATGTGCTGATCATGAATATGTTAATCATTTTTCACCTTAAGCCACAAAGCCAGGTCACGGTCGGTTTATGGTAGACAGGAGAGAATCACAAAATGACCGATTCGGCGCGTTGATCACGAAAATGGTATTTATTTCATGCAACGATGGCATCTGGCAAGGTTATGGTAGGTTCATGGTAGGTGAGTCGAAGCGGCAAAATTAGCTGAAACTTGGCACACGGGCGTTATTTAGGGCGCAAATCAGGGACAGTCTGCTCCGTACACGGGTGTCATTGCGATTGATTACGGTGGGCATACTGTAAGTGGGCCAGATCATGATTAAGGGCAAATCTTTGCCCGGAGGGTTTGTTCTTTGCGCAAATCCTAATAGTCCATTCTTATCATCGCCTATACCATCCGCTCTCACTATTGTCTGAAGCTTTTAGCTACACAAAAGACCAATCCATGCGATAAACCACCACTTCTCGACAAAAATGGAAATGAATGAGTTTTTGGTATAACTTGTTCTGTCGTGCTATGTTTTAGTGCATTGAGTACACTAGCTACCGTCCCCGGTCCCGCCCGGGTTGAGGGTGCAAAGTGGCCCCGACATAGCGCCTATTCGAAATAGTTTTGTGGCTTACCATTTCTCCATGTTCTTCTTCTTATTCTTTAAACTTAGTCCTTTCTTCTTCTCCTGCTTCAGCTCCTAGTTCATTTGCGGCGCTCCTGTGGTATCCACAGTAAAATTGCCTTCTTCTTGACCGCTTAGCTTCGTGACACCGCATCGCCAAATGTGAATGGTCTCCACCGTCTCTTACCACTTTGGAGGAATGATTGATACGCTTTCATTTCCTTAGCTGTAAGTAAACAAATCAATAAATCGATAGAAGGACCCAACGAAATGTCGCGAAAATTAGCCTATCTTTTGCGCCGTGTCTCATTTATACGGAAACAAAATTCAGCTTCTTCGGTTCAAATACAAAAGAGTCTATAAGCCGCAAACATCCTATCAAACAAAGTTACAGTGTTTGAGTTTTATATATGTACTAGCTGGCTTACCCGGCTCCGCCCGGCCCTCTCAAAACACTATGTCAAAAACATTATCCCTACTCCTGTAAGAAACTTCCCCTGTGCCCACGCCTACATGCCAAATCACTATCCCCGCTGTTTTAGTAATCAGCATGCTCGATTACTCCCCTGTGCCAACTCCCAGCCCCGTAGCTCAAACTTTGCAAAAAATCGATAAAAGTAGTGGACCTCAAAAACTAATGTTGTATTCGGAATTCCCATGCTCGATTACCCCCCTATGCAAACTCCCAGTCCCGTAGCTCAAACTTTACAAAAAAATCTATAAAATCGATAAAAGTCATTGATAATCCTGAAAACTAATATCGTATTTGTAATCAGCATGCTCAATTACCCTTCTGTGCCAACTCCCAGCCCCGCAGCTCAAACTCTGCAAAAAAATCGATAAAATCGATAAAAGTAGGCGACGATCTCAAAAACTAATATTGTATTCGGAATTCCCATGCTCGATTACCCCCTATGCAAACTCCCAGTTCCGTAGCTCAAACTTTACAAAAAATCGATAAAATCGATAAATGTAGTGGACAATTCCAAAAACGAATAACGTATTCGTAATCAGCATGCTCGATTACCCCTCTGTACCAACTCCCAGTCCCGCAGCTCAAACTTTGCAAAAAAATCGATAAAATCGATAGAAGTAGCGGATAATTCCAAAAACGAATAACGTATTCGTAATCAGCATGCTCGATTACCCCCCCTGTGCCAACTCCCAGCCCCGCAGGTGAACTCAGCAAAAAAATCGATTAAAATCGATAAATTCGATATCGATCGACGACGAAAAGTAGCCTATGACACCCCGGGGCCCGAAGCGTATGTATGCCAAGTTTGGTCCGAATCGGTTCAGGAATGGAATTTTCTATTCGGAACATACGTACAGCCAGACAGAGAGACAGACAGACAAACAGACATTCAGCTTTATATATAAGAAGATAGTATTCTGAATCACCATGCTCGATTATCCCTCTGTGCCAACTCCCAGCCCCGTAGGTGAACTCTGCGATAGAAATCGATAACGAAAAGTAGCCTACGACACCCCCCCCCCCTCCCCAAGAGTAGATATGTGTGCAAACTTTCTTTTGAATTGATTCTGAACTTAAACCTGCCAGCCCGGCAATACTGTTGTTGTACACACAATAAACAGATTTTTTATTAACAGTAATTGCAACATGACAGAGGATCGAACTAACGTTCGACTTATTCAACGTCAAAAATATCATCCAACAATGATACAGCATTCTCTTTGCCCGACTTCTCCTTCCTCAGCGCGGCCGTAACAGCTTTAACAATACGGTCGATATCGTTGTCGGTCCCGGGTGAGCTCTCGATAGTGGCTTGCTGAAAAGAGGTACACGCTTGATAGTGGCTGGCTGAGAAGAAGAGGTATTCGGCTTCAGAGGCTGCGGCCTGGGTGCACGGCTGGAGGAGGAGAACACCTGCAAAGCGATGATTAGTCAATCAGTAGACGTGATTAACCACCTTACCTTCTTTTGGCAGGGGGGAGATCCGTTTCCTCCAGATGCGATACTCGACCCCCGGCCCCGACCCGGGGGCTTTCGACTTCCGTGGCTTTCCCTCCCGAAGAAGTTTGTGAATCTTGTCCTCGCTGAAGATGACGTATTCCCCATCGATATTCTTGAAGCACGAAAACAGCTCCACTATCTTCACTCGAATACCCTCCATCGCACTCTTGGCTTGGACTGAGGCGACCTCAGAGCCCGCCGCTTTATATACCCCGGGGGCGGGGCCAAGGCGTGGCGGCGGGCTCTGATTGGTCGCCTTGCCATTCGAGAGACGGAAGATGTACTCGATCGATATGACACAAAACGATGTCCAATACTCTTAACCCACCAACTGCTTCTTCCTTACCTCTTCATAATCGAATTTTGAGCATTTCTTCTTGCATACGCTTGGACAACGAAAGTGCAGCTATGGAGTATTTGCGCTCATGTTTCTTCTTGTTTCCTCCGTAATCAAGGCCATTTCGCAGTAGGTGTAGCAGAGTGCCGAGAAGGGCGAGCTCACTTAAACATTGAGAACTCAGTCAATCGCAAGGGATGCTCCGAAGCAAACTGAGCTTCTAAAACTTCCGGAGCGGATGCTGTTACTGGTCCGTGTTGCATGGCCGTGTGGCCTTTGCCACACGGACCATTAGCAGCGTCCGCTCCGGAAGTTCTATAAGCTCAGTTTGCTAAGGAGCTTTCCTTCGGATTGTCTGAGAACATGCGCTCACAGAAGCAGAAATCGATGAATACGCAGCCAAGAACTGATAAACCTTCTTCACGGAAGCGGTCAAGTAATAGACTGCTAAATTGCGCTTGTTGAAGCGCAATTTAGCAGTCCAATACTTGACCGCTTCCGTGAAGAAGGTTTATCAGTTCTTGGCTGCGTATTCATCGATTTCTGCTTCTGTGAGTGACTATTGGACTGCTTCTGTGAGTGACTATTGGGCGCCCTTGCTGACCATCGATGACGTCATCGAGCGCGGCTGGAGTGGCGGAGCGTTGAATAGTCAGCCAACAAACGCCCAACACTATTCGAACACAACGCACGGATCGCCACAGATCGCTTCGATCGCATGTGGGCGAGAAAACCCCGCAATGGGAGCTTACCATCGATGACGTCATCAAGCGCGGCTGGTGAGTGGCGGGGCGTCGAATAGTCAGCCAACAAGCGCAATGTAGCTGCTTAGCAAAAGTAGTAAATTCGCATTTTGGCGTTGTTGCCGCGAATCGAGCGGGTATACAGTGCGGCATTCTGTTCATAGCATGTGTCCTTCTTGACAATATTGATATTGATATTGCGCTCGATGACGCCATCGATGGTCAGCTCCCATTGCGGCGTTTTCTCGCCAGTTCAAAGCTTTGCCGTTTCTGTGATTGACGTATACCAGTTCTTGACTGAGTATTTATCGATTTTGCTGCTGTGAGCATGTTTTCAATGTTTAGGTGAGCTCGCCCTCCTCTGGTACGAGCCTGCTAATCCTGCTTATGATGGAGAATGATATGGGAAGAAAGGTGATATGTGGGACGTCTAATATTCAGCCAACAAGCGCAATTTAGCTGCGTACTAGAAGTAGTGAATTCGCATTTTTGCGTTGTTGCCGCGAATTGAGCGGGTATACAGTGCAGCTTTCTGTTCATAGCATGTATCCTTCTAATATCCTTGTATCCTTCCTGTATCCTTCTATCCTTCTACCGCTTCCGTGAAGAAGGTTTATCAGTTCTTCTGCGTATTCATCGATTTCTGCTTCTGTGAGTGACTATTGGACGCCCCACATACTCACCTTTCTTCTTCCCATATCAATCGTCATTCCACACCAGGATTAGCAAACCTCTTGTTCCAGAGGAAGGCAAGCTCACCTAAACAATGAAAACATGCACTCACAGCAGAATAAATCGATAAACACTCAGCCACGTACTGACGTTTTAGCAGTGGTATCAACGCAGAGTACTGCCAATATCAATATTAGAAGGATACATGCTATGAACAGAAAGCTGCACTGTATACCCGCTCGATTCGCGGCAACAACGCAAAAATGCGAATTCACTACTTCTAGTACGCAGCTAAATTGCGCTTGTTGGCTGAATATTAGACGTCCCACATACTCACCTTTCTTCCCATATCATTCTCCATCATAAGCAGGATTAGCAGGCTCGTACCAGAGGAGGGCGAGCTCACCTAAACATTGAAAACATGCTCACAGCAGCAAAATTGATAAATACTCAGCCAAGAACTGGTTTACGTCAATCACAGAAACGGCAAAGCTTTGAACTGGCGAGAAAACGCCGCAATGGGAGCTGACCATCGATGGCGTCATCGAGCGCAATATCAATATCAATATTGTCAAGAAGGACACATGCTATGAACAGAATGCCGCACTGTATACCCGCTCGATTCGCGGCAACAACGCTAAAATGCGAATTTACTACTTTTGCTACGCAGCTAAATTGCGCTTGTTGACTGACTATTCAACGCCCCGCCACTCACCAGCAGCGCTCGATGACGTCATCAATGGTCAGCAGCTCCCATTGCGGCGTTTTCTCGCCCACACGCATCGAAGCGATCTGTGGCGATTCGTGCGTTGCGTTCGAGCGATTCCCTGGACGCCGGAGGGGGGTGGGGGGGGGGGGGGGTAGGGGACTATGTGTCGCCGAAAAGGGGCGGACCCTACGGTCACTTACGATAAATACGTACTTTTACGCATGTACGGAGAATTGTTCTTGGAGCAAAACCGCGCGGGACCCTCCAACGTTCGGCGACATATAGTCTTCAACCGCCGGGGGTCCTCGTAGTCGAGACCGGCGCCACTCTGAAAATCACCGCGCTGGCGCTGAATTGCTGCCAGCGCTTTCGTTGGTAAACTTTGACGTCGGCGGTGCTGGCGTTTTGGCCTGTTTTGGCTCTTTTGTATTACCCACTCAGAGAAAAGAGGGAAGCCTGGAATGCCATGATGGTCTAGATTTGACTCTTGGTACGTTTTCTTCTGAGTCCATCATTTGGTTTGCCTATAGTGTTCACTACTTTAAACAGCACTGTCCAAACAAACTGATGGTGATGAGATTTCGATGCGCTAAAAATAGCTCCCCCTCCCCCCCAACTAAGCAATCGCTAAAGTCGAATCCCGAAGCAAGAAAAGCGCTCCAGAGGGTAGGAGGCCACACTGGCTCCACCCATCGACATGAGTGGTCTGAACACATGCAAACTTACTCTAATTATGCAGAATTGTCATTAAACGGTCTTTATTACATTTATCAAACTTTTGATACTTTTCTCTCTACCCTGAGCAGAATTAAGGACTTGTCTCCAGACAACCTAGGTTGATAGGTGGAGCCTGCATGTCCGCTTCTACCATCTGGAGCGTTAATCTCGCTTTGAAATTCATTTTTTGCAGCGAGACTTGGGAGAATGCTTTGTTAGGGACTCCGCTATTATACACATCAAGTTCTCAGCGCCTTAGTCTAGGAAGACGATACTTTTAGACCATTTGGGATCGCTCAGGAAGTTAGGAGATTGAACTCACAGTGGGGTAGATCCTCTCCCCCCCCCCCCCCCCACCTGCTGCTACCATTCTGTGTTAGAGCCCTTTGTCGCCGTTTTCGCGCACTCAGCTGTGGATTTTCCGATTAAGCATAGCGAGTATGCCCGGGCAAGCACCAATCTTAAAATCAACTGCTTGCCCGGACACTGCTTTTAAAACCCATCAACCGGTAGCTGGCATACCCGGCTCCGCCCGGCATCACATACACTTTGGTAAAGAAAATGAAGTTATATTCCTCAAGAAGAGAAAACAACTTTGGCTTTTTAATTGTGGTTGTCCTCAACAGAGACAACCGATTGCCTCAACAGAGGCACCGATGGTTGTCCTTGCCTCTGTTGAGGACAACCATCGGTAGCCTCTGTTGAGGACAACCATCGGTTGCCTCTGTTGAGGACAACCATCGGTTGCCTCTGTTATGGACAACCATCGGTTGCCTCTGTTGAGGATAACCATCGGTAGCCTCTGATGAAGGCTACCGATGGTTATCCTCAACAGAGGCAACCGATGGTTGTCCATAACAGAGGCAACCGATGGTTGTCCTCAACAGAGGCAACCGATGGTTGTCCTCAACAGAGGCTACCGATGGTTGTCCTCAACAGAGGCAACCGATGGTTGTCCTCAACAGAGGTCCTCAACAGAGGCAACCGATGGTTGTCCTCAACAGAGGCAACCGATGGTTGTCCTCAACAGAGGCAACCGATGCCAATAGACGTCCTTCTTCGTTCCTCAAGAAGAGGAATAAACTTCGGCTCTTTAGTTGTACCGTTTCGTTCCTACCCTTAGACGGTTTGGCTGAATAGGTCCTAGCCTTTCCCCGGAACTCATCGGTAAGGAAGGATGGCTCGATTGGGTCTATTCAGTAGCTTGGTTTGTCCCACTCACCTTCCCTAACCGCCGCTGGCCGCCGTTTTTTGAGTTTTCGTTTTGCCATTTTTTTGGATTTTGTATTTTCCAAATTATTTGGATTTTTCCAATAGAAATGGCATGCAACAAATAAATACTGCACTATACTACAGCATGCAATTATGTTAGCGCCCTAGGATACACTATGTTAGCTGTGCTCCCTTCGGGCGCATATATGTACAGGTTCGCCGGACTCCCGACCCTCGAACATGCCACGTACAGCTGACCATGCGAAAAACAGGGAGTTTCCAGGTCTACTCCTACTGTTCGCAGAGACTGTCCTTGCGCTTTGTTGATCGTCATAGCAAGTGCAGGCCTAATCGGAAACTGCACTCGCCTGAAGTCAAAGGGCATATCGGAGGGGACGAAAGGGATTCGTGGAATATGAACGCTTCGCCTTTAAACTTCCCCGCCAATATGGTCGCTACTATGTCGTTTGGCATGAGATCCCTGATGCAAAGCCTTGTACCCATTGCACATCCTCGGTGGGTTGATGTTACGAAGGAGCATGATTGGCAAACCAACCTTCAGATCAAGTCTGTGAGATGGTATCCCATTGAGCTCGGGTGAATTCAAGAACTCAGTGGGGAAGTAAACAGCCTGTTCACGCTGAACCATGGTATCAAAGGATGTGTACGTTGATACCGGTCCAGGTAGGCTGTTTAGAATCTGAGCATTGATAGAATTCACTTGCTCATTTTTGGGTGCCAGAATTGCTCGCTCGCAAATCCAGTCCCCATTGCTGAAGTTGATGGCAATGTTTGGGAAGACCTTTTCGATCAGTTCTCCCACTGATTGAACCATATTGCAGAAGTCTGGAGGAAAGGTAATCCAGCCAGAACTTGGTTCAACCGGAATTCTGCCTTCGCCAAAAAGCAACAGCTGTTGCGCAAAGCTTCGGGCAGTCTCATCGCCAAGGAGGTGGACTCGCATGTTCGTCGTGAGATTCAGCGATCGAACATGTCTCCAGAGAGGAGAAGCTTTGAGGCAAGCGTTCAGCTCATCTGCTGGAGTCGATCGCGGAATCACTGGCAGAGTTTGACGAAAGTCGCCTGCCAATAGCACGACGGCCCCACCCATTAGCCTGTTGCTTTCTCGTATGTCCCGTAGTGTGTTGTCAAGGGCTTCTAGGCACTTCTTATGCGCCATGGTGCATTCGTCCCAAACTATGAGTTTGGTTTCTTGTAGTACCTTGGCTTTCCCTGTGCCTTTGCTATCCCACACACTGGGTGCTCTACATGAGCAATATCCAGAGGAAGCTTGAAGGCTGAATGAGCGGTTCGGCCTCCTTCTAGCAGTGTTGAGGCAATCCCCGAGGATGCCACTGCTACTGCGCCTCCTTGTCTGCGAATCTCGGCAAGTAGGAGATTGATGAGAAACGTTTTCCCTGTTCCACCCGGAGCGTCGAGAAAGAGTAGCCCACCCTTGCCACTAGAAATCGTGTCCAGAACAGCACGGTAAACCAACTCTAAATCCTCCGTAAGAAGAGGTCTGTTAGGCTCTACAAATGTGGTCAGCTGATCGGCATCATAGGACCTCTCTCGAAGAACATCGCTCTCGAGTGCCTGGTCATCTCCGCGTACTGGCGACGGCAAACCAGGTCTCTGAGAGTTTGACCAGTCATCGACACGCACGTATCCTCGAGCAGTATCAACGCTCAGTTGAATATCTCGGGAGAGTAACCGATGTTTGCAGAGGGTGCCCCTCTGCGACATTCCCTGAGTACGTCTTCACTCAGAGCCTCTTTGTACTTCTCCCAGAGTGCTCGAGGATTTGACGGTTGACAGACTGTCAAGATGATTCCGAAGAGACTTCGCAGTTGAGCAGCGAAACTTGTCGTAGGTGCTTCTGCGAGAGTTCTGTCCCATTGCTGATCATCTTCAAGCCAAGTCTTTGGCATGCTTTTCTGTAGGTCTCACATTCCTCTCCATCGATGGTCTTCAATGCTGCGAATGACGTTCCTCGGATTGTGTGAAGCAACATTCTGAGGTAGAAGCATTCGGCTTGGTTAGGGTGTACAGTATATACACGCGCTAACACATCCGTTCTCTGACGTCATATCCGGGAACTTCGGCTCCTTGCTTCCTTCTGGCCCACTTCTTTGTTGACTTGTTCCAAGTATAATATCTTGGCACTTCTAAGTACAACAAAGTCCGTGCGAACGGATCTTGTTGGCACAGAAGGAAGAATGCCGTCAAAGTTGTTTGAGGTGTTGCGCAGCTCTTTCCTGCGCATTATCAGCCGTGAAGTAGACGCGTTGTCCATTCTCTAGATGGACATGCAGATGGATGACAGGTGGTAATGTTCGTGTATCCTGAAACCCAGGATACGCCAAACTGCCTCGTTGCTGCTTATGTACCTGCCCGTTTGATATCGTTCGATCTCATCAAACGGTGCAGTGGCATGCTCGAGGCCGAACGTTGCCATGTCACTTCCCTTGTTCACATATTTGCAGATGTACTTAATTGACTTCACCGAATTACAGTACTCCACATTAATATGTGCTCGAAACATTTTCGAGAGCAAGGGAGTGTATGGCACAACCCAGCTGTTGTCCACCACGACGTCTAAGGTCTGATGGTCCACCTTCATTTGAATGACGGCGGTATGTCCTCCATCATCAGGCTTCCGCCTTCTGTATAAAGGATAGCCATCAGCTCCCGCTTGGGTTTCGCGGATCAGCTGCCGAGGGTACCTTTTGGTGCATTTGCCGTCCTTCATGCAAGGCGACCTCGGATTTAGTGGTCCGCATGGCCCATGGATCATGTTTTTGAGGACAACATCGAATAGAAGAGGATCCTCTTCTCGACTGGGAAGCTCCGCCGAGATGATGCTGTCGATCTGATCTAGGCGTATTTTCTCCTTCAGCCACACTAAGATGTGGGCATGCGGAAAACCGCGTTTCTGCCATTCCACGGTGTACATCCAGCAGCGAGTGTCTCCGTAGACGTGGCTCTTCGTTAGCACGTCTATAAGCTTCGTGAGCTTCTGTTTGAAGACTCTCGCCGTGATGTCGTGGCGGTCAGAAGGCGCTTCACCAGGGAAGAGCTCTTCCGCAATTTCGGTCCACGCCGGGTTGCACGTGAACGTGATGAACAGATCAGAAAGCCCGTA